ATGATTATAGAAAGCTTGTAAGCCCAGCTTCAGTCTATAACTTATTGGAATACCTAAAAGAGATTCTACAACTTGCCCAGAGAACGAAGTCTTTTACAGAGCCTTTGCAGTGTATAGGACCTTAGGTGGAATACTGAGCCCCATACACAACCTTCTGAGGTGGGACATTTCCACTAGAAAAGACAAGTAGACCAGCCTGGAACAGCTAGAGTGACAGAGATATATCTTCAAAGAAAGATCATCAGGAAAAACCCAAAACAAAAATGGCAGTATGATTCGCTACTAAAAGAATAAGCAAGTTGTTCTCTGGGAAGCCATCAAGGCAAGCAATCAAGTTCCTTCAAGACAAAACACCCTCGAAGACTGAAACTCAAAGGGAACACATGAGCAGGCATGTAAGCTTGCTGGCAACCATGTTGGTCTACTGGTGAGTGGAAGAGGGGGAAAGGTAGCAATGAAGAAATGGGCTGAGGTCAACCACGTTCCATAGACTCCTGTTGACCTGGAGATGAGAGACAGAAAAGGAAGGGCTGGTTGGTCTAAAGTGTGGTAAGACCTGGGAACACCTGAACTCATGGACAAGGATATAGCCACAGAAGGCTAGAGCTGAAAGTGAAGCATCCAGCTTATATGACATGAGGAGAGATGAACAAGAACACCCAAACTTGCAGATAGTACCCTTTTGACCTAGTCTCGATGGCTTGATAATCAGAACTCGACTAGAGAAGATTATACACACACACAAAAAAAATTTATTGATAAAAGAAATGAGGGTAAGCTGCTACAATTTTATAAACTTGACCTATACTCATGGTAGTAGCTCTAAATACCAACAGAGAGGGAAAGAGTCTTCACATCAATTATCAATGCTCTCCACTCTGTACACAGGGTAGATAGGGACAGGTAACTTAGACACTGGCTACCTAAAATGAGGGGGCAATAAAGGCGCGAAGTGACTGGCTTACAAGGTTTCAAGAAGGAGTTTAGTTTAAGAGTGTGCAGGGGAAGATAGGGTCCCCACTGAATAGTTTTCATCTTGTCTAGATGCATCTGGTAAAAAGAGATAGGAATAAGATTCTTATGATTCAATAGTAAGTAGTTGTTATCAGTACTAATTGTGACTATCACAATTGTAAAGGTAGAAGTTCCATAACAAACATAGTTAATCTTACAGATTAGGGTCCAGAAACAGAGGACCCTAGGATCATCAAGGGAGAAGAGCACAAGCAGAATGTGGGACCTTATCCAGAGAAGCAGCCACACCAGAGCTGGAGGCAGAGATGGGGACATGGAGAGAGGGAGCAGCTGAGGACTTAAGATTCATGAAAAAAGAGAGACTGAGAGCTGGTGGCCAGGAGGCAGTCTTGCAGAATGTGCCCTTTGGAGGTGTAAATTATTACATATGCCTGAGTGTTAAAAAAAAAAAAAAGAGCTAAAATGAATAGAGAGAAATACTGTTAGCTGTTGGTACATGTTGTTGTTGTTGTTAAGTGCCGTCGAGTCGGTTCCGACCCATAGCGACCCTGTACAGGGTTTCCGAGGGTGTAAATCCTTACGGGAGTAGAAAGCCTCATCTTTCTCCCGCGGAGCAGCTGGTAGTTTCGAACCGCTGACCTTAAGGTTCACAGCCCGATTCATAACCACTACGCTACCAGAGCTCCTTAAGTGGTTATAATCACTGTAATGAAACAAAGTATATGATTTGTTGAATGTAAAACTGATGATCTGCCCTGTAAACTTTCACTCAATTCACAATAAAAACTTAAAAAACAAAAACATAGAGGAAGACATGCTTAAGAATTTTGACTTTGTGAGGTTGGTAATGGGGAATCATTGTAATTAAAAAAAAAAAAAAAAAAGCAATGACATAATAACAATGTGAACCTTAGCTTCTGTAGAGTAAAAATCTGTGTCATTGAAGAGAGGAACATTATTCAGAGAGACAGTCTAGAAGTTTTGGGTCAGAGCTACACATGTTGATCTGGAACTCATCAGCCTGTAGATATGGTAAAGACAATATAAGCAAATGAAACATCAATTGGAAGAGAGCCAAAAACAGACCTCTAGTTCAATAAACATTTAATGTACAAGTCTTTTCAATGCAATATATCCATCACAAAAGGATAAATACTGTACAATTTCAGATATATGAATTATTACTGCTTGTAATTAAACAAACAAAGATGACTAAGACTTGGTCCCTACCCAGATGCAGCCAACTTAGTCATCATAAAAGGCAACAAAGAGACAAAGGAATAACCAGAAAGACATTGGAAGATTTAATAATACCCAGGAAATCAAGAGGACACAGAAGAATATCAGAGGCATCTAAATTTCAAGGGAAATGAGGATTTAATACACAATCAGTTTGATACATTTTGAGAAAGATTTATTTGTTTATATGTTCAAATCTTAAAATTGTTACCTGCTTTTTCCAATTTCTGAATTTACAACATAAACTTAAGGGAATGAGACAAGGATAATATAAAAATTTCTTGCTTGTTTTGAGAGGACAAAAACTCACAGTATGTATAATCATAACTGTCCCTTCCTTATGCTCCAAAAGTAATAAAAAGAACACAAAACAAAAGTCTCTATAGGCTTGTCATTCTCTATAATTATATGACTGAAAAATTCACATTCTCAAAGATTAATTTTTTAAGAAATTTAAAATCATTCATAAAAGAATTTAAGAAAATACCAAAAGGGGAACGCAACATAAACAGTTTTGAGTTTGGAAAGCTATAGATTTTGCTGTTCAGTTTTTACTTAAATAATCAATTAGGAATAATATTCTACTTTCTTGACATATGTCAGCAATCACAAAACAATATCTAATAAAGTGAAGTAAAAATCATGTACATTCATGAAACTAATCACAGGTTACCTTGTTGGAGGAAAGGGTGTTATTTATTCTTTTATAGCTTCTAACTAAAGCTTAAAATTTTTGTTTATAAATCTAATTCTGGAATCAGTGATGTCCAAAATTTAGGTGTAATTCAAATACATTAATAGTATGGGAACTCTTAAGGATTTTAACAGGCAAACAAAGATAAAAGTTTATCAAAGTATAGCAAAACAGCATGTCTAGAGTTGAAAATAATGTCTTGTGATTGCTATAATCACAAACAATACATACTCTAATGTTTATTTCTGACTCAGGCCACCCCCACTAGGAAGATGCAATCAACACCACATTAAGATATCACCTCACTCATGCAAGAATCATTATGATAAAAAAAAAAAAACATACAAAATAAGATTGGTGAGGATGTGGATGAAATTCATTGCTGCTGGAAATGCAAAATGGATAGCCACTGTAGAAAATAGCTTTGTGTTTCCTCAAACTTTAAACACAGAATTAATGCATGACCAGCAATCCCAGCCCAAAATATATACCCAAAACATGAAAGCAGGAACACAGACAGAAGCTTACACATTCTTTGACGCGTTATTCATAACAGTCAAAGGATGGAAACCAAGTGTCCCTCACAGATGAATAGGTCAACCAATCAAGCAAGATTATTCAGCCATAAAAGAAAAGCAGTTCTGATACATGATACAACATTGTTGTTGTGGATAAGTACTGTCGAGTCAGTTGTGATTCATAGAGATCCTGTATAGGGTTTCCAAGGAGCAGTTGGTGTGTTTGAACCACTGACCTTGTAGTTCAAACCTGCATTACGATCAAGTGCTTGTTCTACAGTACCACACAAGGACTCCTGATACAACGTTGTTGTTAAGTGCTGTTGAGTCGGTTCTGACTCACAGTGACCCTGTATAGGGTTTCTAAGGAGCATCTGATGGGTTTGAACTGTCGACTTTGTGGTTTGCAGTCCAGTGCTTATCCTACAGCAACCATACTAGAAGTGAAATAAGTCAGTCACAAAAGGACAAATTATATTAAATATCAAGAATAGGCAAATGTATAGAGACAAAGTTTATTAGTGGTTACCAGAGGCGGGAGGGAAGAGAAACAGGGAATCATTGCTTAGGAGCTACTGAGTTTCTGTCAGTGGTGGTCATGGTGTATAACATGATGGATGTAACCAATGTCACTGATACTTAACATGTAAAAAACGTTCATGTGGTAAACGTTGTATTATATATATGACTCCTGGTGTGGTGCTGCAGGGTAATCACTAAACTGCAAGGTCACTTTGAACCAGAAGTTCAACAGTTCAAGCTCACCAGCCACTCCTCAAAAACCCTATACAGAGTTGCTATGAGTCAAAACTAACTAAACAAGACTTAACAACAGCAACACGCACATATATGTAGCATACATTATATATATTTATATGCATATATTAAGATTTGGAGTCCTAGTGTGGCACTGTGGGCTAATGCATCAGACTGCAAAGTCATTTAAATTGCAAGTTCAGCAGTTCAAGCTCACCAGCTGCTCCTTGGAAACCTTATAGAGGGGCGCTATGGGTCAGAATCTACTCAATGGCACTTAACAACAACAACATATTAATATTTGGAGTCCTGGTGTGGTGCTGTGGGTTAATGCACTATACTGCAGAGTCAGTTTGAATCGCAAAGACAATGGTTCAAACTCATCAGCCATTCTTTGGAAGCCCTATACAGGGTCACTGTGGGTAAGAACCTACTCGACAACATTTAACAACAATAATAATATATTAATATTTACCTAAATAAATAATCAGCCCAGTACATTAGTTTAAAATTGCTATAACTTTGGTAGGTTTTGTTAATAATGTGAATTTGAGCTCTCGATAAGCATACTTGCTTTTTATATTGTCTTTGGTGGTGGTGGTCATGTGCCGTGGAGTCGGAACCGACTTACAGCGACCCTGTACCGGGTTTCTGAGGCTGTAAATCTTTATGGGAGCAGAAAGCCTCATCTTTCTCCTGAGGAACAGCTGGTAGTTACGAACTGCTGACCTTGGGCTCTGCAGACCGATTCGTAACCACTACGCTACCATAGCTTAGACAAGTGCAAATAAACAGGAGTAATTAAGACTGTGACCTACCTTTATCAAAAAAACCTGGCAATCACTGGCATAGTCATATTCTAGCCCATCAAAAGAATGATAATGCCGGTCCCCATAAATTGTGCACACTGCTGGGCATGGATAATATGTGCAATTGAACATTCCTCGTCTGCAAACACTATCAGAAAATAACACCAGTTACATTTCTAAGGAACTTTAATTGTTTTCAAGTAGTATGCAATAAACAAAGTTTGTATTCAAGAGTACTCACTGCAGTAGTTTTTACAAATTTTTTCCAATTCATTCAGAACTTAGATAACAATGACAAATTACGCAGATATTGATTGCTTTGCTTAAACCATTAGACTATACACCAAGGCAAGAAAATGTGCCTGGGACACACAGACAACAGATGATGAGTGGAAACTAAAACACAAATCTACTTGTAACCAAAATACCACAATGCCATGTCCTATATTAGAGTAAGTTTAAACACATTAAGTATGACTTCGCTTGTGAGTTTCAAATCTTGGCCCATTTTTTAAGAAAACTATAATCCATTTTTTTACACTATTAGTTTGCCTATTTTCAAACAGAATGTCTTCCAGTAAATGTGATCTTATCTTCTAAACACGTGTCATAGTTTCTTATAAACCTAAGATATTATTTCCTATTAAGTTTTCAAATTGCCATACTTCACACTTTTCTTCTGGGCTGAACAAATAATCATAAAAATGTGTAGGTTCTTGCAGACAGAAGTTCTTTACCAACTCCTGGATGCTTTGGCAATCTTATTTACTCAGACTTGATGTATTTCCTTTTTAAAGACAATCACATTAAGTGACTGCAAGATGACCGAGACTAGTACAGTGGCTGAGGAAAGTCTTGTAAAATTAATGAGTCTCATTACCAGGTATAACACGGGGTTGCAATCACTTCTCCTGAGAGGTACTCCCAGTCTTTCCAGATACATGGACAGCTGTCAGGAACGTAGCATTTTCCTTTGTGCTCTGCCATTCTTACAAATAAAGAAGCAAATGTCATTTAGTGTTTACTAACTTCAGGTTTTAAAAAGCATACCAGTAATCTTTTAAGTCAACAGCTACTGTTTGCATGTTTTATCTCACCTAAGATTTGAAATTGACTCAACGGCAGTGGATTTGTATTTTGTGTGTCTTTCTTACTTGTTTTGGTACTGGAGGATTGAATCCAGTCATTTTTACTCTTTTAGCTGCACAGCTGCTTTTTATATCACCAAGGGAATGCTTGGTAATGATATTTAACTAATCTGTTTTAATCACTTAGTATAATAAAATGCTATGAACATGCTCTTTTCTTAGTGCTCTGCTTTACTATCACAGCTCTTCTAATCCAGCACTGCAATTCCTTATTTAATGTGTATGCTGTTCACTAGACTCCACTTGGGAGAACTGTGGATACTTTGGTGGTTCTATCTCAATGCCTCACACATAATAGATGCTCTGTTACTGAGTGGAGGTGAATATATCAGCCTGTCTATATGCTGTTGTTGATCTGGACTTCAGGGTAACCCTACATGACAGAGCAGAACTACTACATAGAATTTCCTAGACTATAATCTTTACGGAGTCCTGGTGTGGCACTGTAGGATATGGCACTGGACTACAAGGTCAGTTTGAACCACAAAGTTGACAGTTCAAACACTACCAGCTGCTCCCTGGAAACCCTATACAGGGTCGCTATGAGTCAGAACTGACTCGAAGGCACACAACGACAATAATCTTCATGGAAGCAGATCACCAAGTCTTCCTCCTGCAGAAACGCTGAGTGGGTTGAAACCACAAATCTTTCGGTTGTTAGCCACGTTCTTAACCATTCTGCCACCAAGGCTCCTTGCCTATCTATATATCAAGTGCACATCATCTTCTTTAGGTTTCTTCTTTCAAACCAGGAATATCCTCGATTCCATAAGCGCTCACCTTGACCTCCTCAACCTTCTAGCCATTCTCCTTGTGTTTTCTTTTCTTCCTCTGAGTAGAAGGCCCTTCTCCTGCCTCACTCTGCCTGGAAAACATTCTTATCATTTAAAACTAAATTTAGTACTGTCTTTTATGTTTCTAATTCTTTCACAGGATCCCTATATACAAACCTCTAGTGGGGGCTATAGCACAATAAACTGTAAATATTTTGTCAAATATCTTAAAATAAAAAATTAAACTAACATTACTGAATGCTTACTGTGGCCCAGGCACTATTCTAATCATTTTTAATATGTGCTTAACTCATTTAATCAAAATGACAGTTCCATAAGGTAGATTCTATTATTATCTCATATATGTATTTTAGTACTAACCCACCATTCATAGCTTAACACAATGCCAAAAACATTAGCTGCTCTATTAATATTAGTTTCTCAGTTGTTTCAGTGAGAATTGTCTCTCACGCAAATGAACCCAAATCTCAACATATCAGTCTAAGTAGTCATTTTGAATTGTTGTGCTTCTAGCTGCTAAATATTTCATAAACAGACCAAATTGGGAGAAGGAAGAAGAGACGATGACTTAAAAATCCCTGTAAGTTTCCTGCTTTAAGAATATTTAGGCAGTGGGATAAGTAATAACATAAATATTTACTGAGTACATACTTCATAATAATAGGTATCTTAGGCATGATTCCATCACTCGTCTGTCAGTTTATTGTATTGTGGTGGCTTGTGAGTTGCTATGATTCTAAAAACTATGCCACTGATATTTTAAATAATCAGCAGGGTCACCCATGGTGGGCAGGTTTCAGATGAGCTTCCAGACAAAGACAGACTAGGAAGAAAGAGTGACGAACTACTTCCGAATCGCTAGTCACTGAAAATCTTATGAATAGCAGAGAAATACTGTCAGATATAGTGCTGGGAAAAGTACCCCTCAGTTTGGAAGGCACTTCAAATGCAACTGGGGAAGAGCTGCCTCCTCATAATAGAGTTGACCATGATGATGCAAATGGAGTAAAGCCCATAGGAGAAAAGCCCATGGGACCTTCAATTGCTGATGGAGCACAACTCAAAATGAAGAGAAACAGCTGTAAACATCCACTGAAAATCAGAACATGGAATGTACTAAGTACGAATCTGGGAAAATTGGAAGTTGTCAAAAATGAAATGGAATGCATAAACTTCGATATCTGAGGTGTTAGTGAGCTGAAATGGACTTATATTGGCCATTTTGAATCTGACAACCACATGGTTTACTATGCCAGGAATAACAAATTGATGAGAAATGGTGCTGCATTCATTGTCAAAAAGAATATATCCAGATCAGTGATGAGGTACAATGCTGTCTGTGATAGGATAATATTTATGCATCTTACAGGGAAGACCAGTTAATACCACTATTATTCAAATTTATGCACCAACCACTAAAGCCAATGAGGATGAAATAGAAAAATTCTACCAACTTCTTCAATCTGAAATTGATCAAACATGCAATCAAGATGTAGTGATAATTACTGGTGATTGGAATGCAAAGGTTGGGAGCAAAGTACAAGGATGAGTTGTTGGAAACTATGGCTTTGGTGATAGAAATGATGCTGTAGAATGCATGATAGAATTCTGCAAAACCAATGATTTGTTCATTCCAAATACCTTCTTTAGACAGCATAAGAAATGACTATACATATGGACCTCACCAGATGGAATACTTAGAAATCAAATTGACTACATCTGTGGAAAGAGAAGATGGAAAAGC